ACGAAGAATTTATCAAGAGAGCTCGTCAAGAGAAAAAGATGTTGTTCTCAATTTCCACAACTTTGACGAGCAACGAATTTATCGATCAAAGATGTAATAATTTCTTAATTGGATGGCAGATATAATATGGTATGTAAATTATAGGAATAAATCGTGACAAAAGTTTAAAATTTCCAGTTAAGCGAGGGAAATTTGTAAAAAAAATCTTTCGATCCCTCCCCAGGAAAAGCGCATTTGAAGAGAGAAAAAGAAGGGAGAAAATGGGGGTGGAGGATAAGGGAATAGAGAAAGCAGCTTCGGCCGATCTACCACATTCGTGTCGGGACGAGTGGTCGAGGGAAGGCCCCGGACAAGCTGGCAAGCTAACAAAATGGTAGGGCCCAGCAGGCCGGACTCAAAATCGAGCAACAAGTTGCAGGCCGCCTCTGACTCCTATAGGGTGGGCCAAAAATAAACCGAGGATATCTTGTTTCCGTGAAAGGAGCTGGGAAAATTTGTAACAGAACACGCAGGTAGATATGGTCCTTCGTCGTCCTTTTTACCGTATCTTTTGCGTATATTTTTATCATCCTTTCGTAGAAAATTCTCGAGAAAGGATCGAAATAATACAACGGAAAATTTTCCTAATTTATATTTTAAATGTGAGAAAATGAAAGTAGCCGAAAGAGTGGATGTAAGAATCGGAAAAATTGTGTAAACTTGACGAAGAAGAAGCGCGGAACGATGAACACGGAAAAGTATGATATAAAAATTTCAAACATCGAAGCAATAAGTAGGATGAAAATAATTCCATTTTGAATCTAACAACAGTTACATTGAAACTAATCGAGGATTGTTATCCATAATAATACGTTAAATTCAATAATTTACTCCCTATCGATCTATATCGGTATAAATTATAGCACGCATAAAATGGCCGGGTATAATAATCTCTCGGATTAACAGATGCAATTTGACGAAGATCACGCGAAATCACGGTTTCCATCGAATCGAATGGGATGATTTGATTGAACGAACAACCGTGGCCACCGTATTCGTTACAAAATAGGTCATATAATTCGACTAAACATTGGCAACGTTTCGCCATCTATCTAATTACCGATATCATCTGTCGATCGTACGTGGATAGAATTAATGGACGATATCGAGGGAAAACACGTGAAACCAGCATCGGTTGGCGTTCATCGCCGCCCATGAAAATTTAGTTTATAATTGAATAATGATCGTGCCAATTAGCGGCACGTCCGATGAATATACGTATCGGGCAACGATCACTGAATCCGATATCACCTCTATGAACCGGTATATAATCGAATTTTTCATGCTTCACGGAAGCGGGAAAATTTTCTCTCGTGCCGAACAACTTTGCACCAAATGCGCAAGCAAATGTAACAAAAATTCGTCGATTCAATGATCATTCTTCGATCACGTTGTAAAAGTAATAATATACGTCGGAAGAAATCTTATTATAAAACATCTACTTTGAAGAATAATCGAAATTATTTTTTTTTTTCGAAGCGTTTTAATCTCATTTTCGAGTATTTCATCCCATAGATCCGATATTGCTTTCGTGAATAGGTATAATCGAATTTTCCATATTTTACGTGCGCCACGAAAAATTTTCTCTCGAATCGTACGTACGAGGACATCGACGAGTAGCGGTTTCATTTCAGTTTTTACAAATCGGAATAGGGATAAATCTAAACAAAATAATTCGAATAAATTTACGTTTCTGCTTGTGAAAATTTTCGCGAAAGAAAAAAAAAATGAACCAAAATTCCATTCTAATTTTTCTTGGCTCGATGAAAAACGATTATATAGACGATTATATTATACGAAAAGTGCGAGTTTATCTTAGAAAAAGATTGATTTTTTTTTCTCGTTCGATCGGTGAGACGAAGCATGCTTGAAAATCGAACGAGTGCCGACACTTTGATCGAGATACGATATCTATCGCGTACATTGTCTCTGTTTATCATCGGCCAACACGCGCGGTCGCTCGTGCGATGAAAAGGAACGTCCTCGTCGTCTTCCCACGCGTTATCGCGCGACTCCAACACTCGAGCCAACGACCGTTTTTGACGACGCGACGTTAAATTTTGGTCGGAGCACCGGTTGCCAAACAGAAGACTCTCGATACTCGTTTTCAGGTAGTAACTCGGGTGTGTTACGATTACGGTAGAACTCGACATAGATATCTGATACGTGTCGAGGAACAAACGATCTTCCACGATTTTTCATTCGAAGAGTGAATTTCGAGTGGAAAATGGTGAATTTCGAAAATTTCGATTCTCGGCTATTCTTGGGATTAAATTATTCACTTATTTTTTTCCAGTTTCATATTTTTTAATGGAGAATCGCGAACATTTACGTTTAAAAGTTTTTGAACGTATAACTTAATTGGAAAATGACGATGGAATACAATGGAAAAGTTTAAAAGAAATATTTGGCTGAATCAAAACGTTGACTAAAAGTTAATCGAAAGGAAACATCCTTAAAAAAGAAATTGTTAATTAATTTAACAATATAACTTATATTACACTTGTGAATAATAAAATAAAAGTTTTAATGATATTATAGGTAATCTAAAGAACATAATGCGATTAAAAATTTGAAATAATACTCGAGCGTTTAATGAATGAAACCGATTATTATAGGATTTAAATTTTCTTAGAAGTATCTTTAATCAAAAATAAACGATCGAAAAGAGAAAAGTTTGTAAAGGAAATAATATAATTAAGAGTGATTCGCGATTAAATATGATTTACTTATTAAAATTCTTAAAAACTGCGAATTTTGGTTTATCTTTAACATTGACGCCCATATAACGATCAGAGAAGTTGTATATGCACTTTATGCGCCATTATAACCGGTATTACGTAATTTCTGAGTAGCCAGCGTATCTTTATTACATCCTCGCGTTACTAGATGAAACGATACTTTAACGATCAGCGAAAAATAGCTTTCCATTTAACCTTTTAGCCACTTCGATTCAGAATATTTCATGCGCGCTATATCATAAGATCGTATGCGAATCTTGCAACACGGTAATTTAAAACAACACGGTAATCGAACTGAATATTGAGACCAATTGAGGGAATCGTAATAATAAAGTATTTAACTTAATTTGTACCTACCTATATGAAATTGCTGTACCAATAATATTCTTATATTCTTCCTACGATGAAAATTAAGTAATCTTAAGTAAAGATGAAAGTGTTCGTTAAACTTAAACTTAAAATTAACGATCTAAATACGAATAAAAGTATGTTACATCTATCTATCCATTTTAAATAATGATAATCAAATTTTAAAATACAAAGATTGTATGGACATAAAAGTATAATCGCAATCAAAGACTAGACACTAAAATTTCCTTTTAGAAAATTCTTTTCCGCAAAATTCATCACGTCAAACACATCGAGACGAGCCTTGAATTACAATTTTATAACACTATATCTATATTTATATTACATCGTATCAGGAATTAGGAGAAAATTAGTGAGAAAAATAACGCGCGCGTTATTTCCTTTCCCCAAAATTCCCCAAATTTTCCCCCAAAACACGGTCGAAACGAACGTGCTCAATCGTTCTCAAAATCGTTCGTTCCTAGGCAAAAAGAAAAAGGAAAATCTTCGATGCATCATTCCTTTTGCAAAATTTGATGGAAAATAGAAAATACGAACGTACCAAAATACAAAATCGTTCGTTTCGAAGCGAACGACCAAGCAAAAAGATACTCGTTCGCCGTTACCTAATCAGTGGAGGCTCTCGAGCGTCGAGAAGTTTTTCACTGGTACTCGCGCGAACGCAAACGCGCGCGCGCATGTGCATGTGTAAGCAGTATACGTGGGAGTCGCGGCGTTCCGCGTGAGCCAGCGGAGCGCACTTAAGCGCCGTGAGACGAGTTCACGCGATAACACGGGCCCGATAACGGGCGACATACACTCGCTTTGCCCGTAACATCGTACCGATTTGCAATATACACGTGCATAAGCGCACGTTCGCGAATTAAATCTGTTGTATACCGATAGATATGTATAGAATATGGGAGATAAAGAGGAATGATGTAACGATTATAGGAGACTGTCGGCGCGATAATCTAGTAATTGTACTCAAACTAGAATTGAAACGAGTGGCGGAGGAATTTGGTCTCGATATGTTCATTTCGTTTGTTTTCGTTGTGTAATGGCGATCAAAAGGACAGAGAAAATTAACAGAGAAATGTGCAATAAAGTAAATAATTTGGTAAAAATAAAATCATGTATATATGCGCGAAATATATGCATGAAAAATTCGTTTTCGATTAATGTTTTTTGCAGATTATATTATTTATATATCCTGTATTTAGTTCTAGTATTCGATGGAGCAAATTAACAAGATCCGGATTAAAAATTGATAAAACGCTAGTTTATCAATTTGAATATTTGAATATTTTAACATAAGAACAGAGATCTGAAAATATAACTTAACATTTTTAGTTCGATTTTCGTTTCACGATCATACGAAGAAACGTAAATTTCGTTAAATTACGTTAAATTTCTCCCACTGACAATATATTATATCATTAACCTTAAATCGCACGATATTTAAATTTTGTACAGGATAAAGTAACGAAATTATTTAATCTCATTGTTTTTTTTTTTTTTTTTTACAATTTCAAACTATGAATTTTAAGTCTTTTGATTATTGATGTTACTATTAGGGAATTTTTTTTTAAATAATTAATAATATTCTTTTACTAAAGTATGTAATTTTTCATTCAAACTCTGTATTATTATAGATACCTACGTAGTCATTTTATTAGAATTTTGACTCCTTAGGATTCATGTAAAAAGTGATTTGAACAATAAAATTAATTGAGGGATGTCTATAAGCTCGTCATGCTTATGCACAAGGCGTAATGCGTCCATCTGTATAAAGAGCGGCACATTGCACCAAGCCTATACAGCGCGGATTTCCGCTGCTGAATTAATAATCGACTTTACATAGGTACTTACACGTCTACCGGATCTCTACGTGCATACATGCTTGACAAATCACCGGTGAAGGTACCTAGCGCAAGTCATCCATACGAAAAACTGCCTGAAAATAAAGAAAATAGGGTTTAAAATTGATGATGGTATTACGTCTAGACAGTGATGAATTAGAAATGATAAGAACCGTGATAAAAAGAACCATGCAGAAATTTATCATAAGCATTTTTTACTGAATTGATAAATAAGTACTAGATAGATAATTATTGCACTAGCAATTGTGAAAGTAACTTAATTAGAAAATCTAGTAAAAGGAAATTTATGATTCTGTGGATTAATGTGTCATTAACGATTCACACCAGTGATATAAAATAATAAAATCAAATATAATAATATATTATAATTTATCTATCTACCTTGACTAATTTAAAATAGAGGAAAATTTTAAAAGGTAAACAATTTTTTCTATACGTGCTACATCTATATATAATAAAAAATAAAAAAATTCTACCTAATCAAATCGCAAATTAACAATGTTTAAAAATAAAAAGATTTGTTAAAAAATTTTTGAAAATTCTGATAATTGCGGATAAGAATTGCTTGTTTAATACGCGAATTGATTTATTTTATTTTATAACTGACATTTTTGTGATATTCTACGCTATATTCCATCAACACGGATGGATATTAAATATGTGCAAATTTTATAAAGATTATAACTAGCATGTTTCCGTTATAAATTCTCGATTAATCCAACGAAACGACAAAAGAATACGATATTGGTCAAAAATATTTATGAATAAAATAAGATTTAAAAATTCATAGAATAGAGAATAAAAGATAAATCAAATTTCTATTGTTGAATGATCTACATGAAAATTAAAAAAATTAAAAACAACTGTAAAGAAAAAAATAGTAAAATTATAAGAACTAATTTTCATGAATATTAAAAACGATCGATAATGATAATAATCGATCGTTAAATAAAAATATCGATTACATCGATAATGAGTTTTTGTTGAACATAATCGAATTGTTATAAACAATTGTTGTAATCTCTTACTTATAAAAATTATAAAATGCATATATTGTCTTCGAAAGAAGTGATAATTCGATTGTATATGAACTATAGGAAATTTTTCAATGATTTTTGTTTCACGATTGTTTGAAAATTAAAAAATGCTTTAGAATTCTATTAATAACGTCTTAGAAGAAAATGACAATAATATAATGATGACGAATAACATAATAATTACGTTTTTAATTTTCAAATTGATTTCGTACAAGTTTTCAGATATGCTAACCTAAAACATCGATTATTTTGACAACATTTTGTCGAATAGCGATGAATCTTATATAAGCAAATATGACAAATGATAAAGAAAGATATAGGAAAAGTTTTACCTTAATATTATAAATCGATTCCGAATTATTAAATACTCACTTTTTCTACCAGACGACTATTCGATTCTAATGGATCTCTCTCGAATGTTCGTGCACGTCGAAACTGTTTGAATGCACACTGAACCATAGTTTCGTACACAATACACTATAAAATGTAAATTGTCTAATTTCATTATATCAATTTCGATATTTATTAATTAGTTATCAATTAAGTAAATTAAACAATCACTAAATGTAAAATTGCACAATAAACTACTTTGATAAAATTAAGATGGCTGCCTTGTCACGAACCTGCAAGTCAATCGATAATCGATTTCTTACTACCGAATGCTATTAATCGATAATGACAACGATATGAAGATGGTAGATTAAAAAGTCGATATATGAAATGTATCTATCGATTGTCATATTTATTCAATAATAAATTATTATTTGTAATAATAATTATTTCTAACAGATAACCTATACGGTATTAAACTAATATAAAATAATGAAATTATCATGAATATGTAAAATATTGTTCAATCTTACGTGTGCTATGATTACCAACGATTCCATGCAACGTTACCATGCTTATTTTTCTATAATTTTTAAAACTTCCGATTAATTTTGTGATATTTATAATCGATAATCTCTAATTCGATATTTTGAACAATATATATCGTGCATATTATATTTAAGCATATTCCTTTTTCTTATATATGATGATGAATATATCATTGTTTTTTGCGTACATCCTTATAAATATTATCTCTTAACCTATACATGACTTTTTTTAACCTCAAACTATAGTTCACGAACACAAGATCTAGACATAAACATGGTACAATAAAGATATATGGCAATATGATTGTATTCTTGAAAGACATATAAGTCATAGAAATGATTTCGATATTCGATAAAAGACTTTTTAACCAACACGACGTACTATTCGATTTAGATCCACAAAGAACGCGCCACGCCCTGCTTTCGACGTTGCCGTGTCCGCGATGGACGGCCCGCATAATGAGAAACACGAATCAGTGGCCTCATCGTTCTCCCGTATCTTTGGTCGCGTGCGCTGCGGCTACGTGCGCGTTTGCCCTTGCTTATCGCGTTCTTGCGCAGCTTTAATTAGCTAGCCGCCATCTCTTGGTCACTACTGTATTTTTACGTATCCTCTCATTCTTATTATTTATTTTGTTCATATCCCTTTATTTATAACCATAAGGATCGTATAGTGATTTCAAATTATACATGTAACTTATGCGAATTAGATGATCCATAGAATATATTTGTCAAGATCGCTATTGTATGTACATATATTACGATTACGCAATTAGTACTAAATTCTAAAATTAAATTAAAATCATCTTTCATCTTTAATTTATCATAGATCATCATACAAATGAACAGTAACAAATCTAAAAATTTCGCGTTTGAACTACATTAAAATCTAAAAAAATTTGAAATTACTTTAAATAAATTTCTTTAAACGATATTCAAGATTAACGTAGTTACTTTAAAAATGTGAAGTAACAACAATGATGACAAAGAACAAAGAAGAATATTGCTTATGCAAAGGAAAAAGAAAAAGGAGGGGACGTGCCATAAGCTGCGTACCCGCGGTACGCCATCTATATTGGCTTTGTGTATTCCATGGTTGCGCAATAGCGCGCGACTTGAGAAAGCCGATCGCGCGACGCACGTTGGTATTTTTGCTTTTGTGTATCGGTCATAGGGTTGCGTACAACACTTCGTACAACAATTGATTGCTCTTCAAAGGGAGGCGAAACTCAAATCAGATGGGAAAAGAGAGAAGGGGAAAAACGAAGTCGTAAAAGAGGGTACGCAACACCCATCCCGCCAACAAGCCGCCTGAACAAGGGCACAGAGACGGATTACGAACATTTCAACCAGACAGAGTGAAGGGAGAAGGGTGCAGAGATGGAGGGAGGGCGGAAGATGTAGACAAAGAGACGAAGAAAGGGGAAAGGTGCATGCGATGAGAAAGGGTGGGGAAGAGGAAAGGAAAGGAAGATCGGTCTCTTGGTGCAGAGTGTAGTGGTTATAAAGAGAAGCGGCATCGCTGCACGGCTACTTGGCTCTCCAGGGCCAGGATATTTCAATACCAACGGTGGTCGGCCACCGCCGACGTGGCTATGGAGAGGGGAAATGCTTGTGACGATGTGCGCTCGTACATATATATATATATATGTAAATGTATATATATATATACTTCTCCTTGTGCCCCTCACCCACGTGCCCGCCCTACGCGACAGCATATACGCGATATATACGGCTTTACACACCCGTGGGCGTTAAAGAGAAAGAAGGAAAGACAGAGAACGAGATATGACCGGTGGCACGGTAGTGCTCCGCTATTCGGGTTTCCTGCACAAGGGGAAGAGTGCTGGAGAGGGAGAGAATTTGCTGTCTCTGTTTTAACATACACAGAGGGGGAAAGTTGCGGCAAAACGGAAAGGCTGTTGTCGAGGGGAATACAGGGACGCGCGCGGTACGGCAATGGGGACCTCGAACTGAACCGTCGACCGACGATTGTCCGTGAGCCCGCCTTCTGGACGAGTCGAGGGGAATGGACGTGGGCTGTGCCACTCGTCGATTGGTCGCCGTGCTGTGCGGGGTTAGAAGCATTGGTGGCGCTTCGAGAATCCCACCAATCGAGCGCCACTATCGTGGCTTTTTTATCCTGCTATTTACGCCGAAGGACGGAGAAGAGCAGGCTCCCCCATCTAACTCTCTCACTCCTTTTCTATCCCTCTCCTTTTCCTTCGCTCAACCGCTCTCCCTGTGTGTTCGTCGACACAGGAGAGGACACTCTCATTTCGGGATCCGTTGAGGTTGCACACGTTTTCACATACAGCGCCGCCCGTTTATTGCGACGCGCTATATTCTACGTCGATTTTATTCGATACGGTGTGTTATCGTTACAACGAGTTTGCGATTTTGTTAGATAATCCGATTTAAACGTCTGTTTACTGTAAAAGCATCGTATGCGACAGCCGAAGCCGTGCGGTAGTGTTATGTAGTGTGACAGTACGTCGCAAGAGGATACAGTGTTGTCAAATCGTGGGCGCGAATACAGCAAAAGCGGTATCTCGACTTGTGAAATATCGTAATTAAACTATAAGTGTGTTTTTATAAAGACACAGTGACTGACTTATTCAAATTGTAATATTAAGTGATAAATATAACGACGACATAGTAGATTTTTAACTTTATCGTATAATACGCTAGTGACATTTGGTGCGGTGCTATCGACGAAATAGAGTTGGCAACGTTGCATCGACTACTCTCATACACAAATATACGCATACACGTACCTAGAAGGGAACTTGGGGTGGCTGGCTAGCAGGCAGGCGGCAGGCAGGCAAGCAGGCAGGCAGCTTTCTTGTTCCGAGGACGGCGCTCCTGGTCGTGCCGTCTCTCTTTTCTACCTCCATTGCGCTTGCTCTTTTCTCCCTCTTCTCCCTGCCCCTCTCGTCCTCGGTCACTCAATCACACTCTCCTCCTTTTGCTTTCTCTCTTTCTCTCTCTCATGTGCGGCGCACGTACCGTTGAGAGTTTCTCCCTTCCCCTTCGATACTCTTTCTCTACCGTTACCCCCTCCCCTTCTAACCTCGAGCGGGTCGGGCGAGTCCACTAAGCTTGCGAGGGGAGTTCGGCAGACCTCGGCTCTAGTCGGCCTCGATCCGCAGAATGTGCTAGACGCTGTGAGTCGATCGCTCCAGTTTTTAAATATTTGCATATAAAGAGACTGTAGAGCGTTCACGGGGCTTGAAAACGGTTTTCCGCACTTCGTACGCGGATCCACAAGTTGCTAGTGCCTATATCGACGTTAATTTTCACCATCAGTTTGGGACGCACTCGATCAGCGTATATCCGTACGACGGCCATGTTTGGTGTTTACGAGGTGAGGGGGAATTGCTGACGTCACGAACCCCGATCTTGCACGAAGGGAGCAGCAACACCAGCAGAAGCAGAAAACGTGTTGCCGGCCAACACAGACACCAAATCTAACACAACTTCGAAATAAAACGAAACGTAGTCGAGTATCTCGAGTGCTCGACGAATATCGTACACAAGATTATTGTGCGTGAACACACGAAGAAGAAACTCAGGCGCGCAAACTGTGCCGCTTGAAATTCCCTTTCCGATGGGACGCGCGTTTTTTGTGTTTACATATGGTGTTACATTACTCAGTGGTGTATCTCAGTGACACGCATCACTTTCTTATTGGATATATTAACAACTTTCATACGCATCTAAAGAACAAGGATTAAAACATCATGGATCTAGGTGACAGAGTTTACGCTGCGGAACGGATTACGAAGAAGAGGGAAAAGCGGGTAAGTAAGAGAACTGCGAACCGGCAGATAGCGCCACTATATGGAATCTGTTTGTCTATGCGCCGTTGCCGGTTCCTCCCCTCTTCATGATCTTTCTCTTTCCCACTATCATTCCGACAATTTTGCCCCTCCCGTAGCGATTTCTATCGTGTATGATGCTCTCGATATCTCTCTTTGAACTCGACAAAACGTTTTATTGATATATAATCATTTAACGTAAAATATATTTATTTTTTTTTTTATATTCTATTGTAAACAAAATCTTAAAAATCTATTTTAGTTCATTTATTTATGTGTTTAAGATTATAAGATTATAAGTTCTATATTTTCTATAAGAATACATTTATAAAAATATTATATTTATTTTTCCGTCAAAAATTTTTAAATTATCATATTTTACATGATTAATAATTTTGATTTATTACCGCATCAATCTTTATAGTAATATATTTTAAAACAGTCACAACTTATACAAGAATTTATACGTTTTTACCATACCGGTAATCTTCGGAGTAAAGTAACGATACTGGTTGAGATTGGCAACGTTGTAAATCGACATAAAACACGCGAGACTTCTCAGCTGCGAACGGCTCATGCGCGATAAACCGACGTGTCCTATACCTGCACAGTTATGTCATTGTTTTTCAACTGTCACACTGGCTGCGCACCTCGATCGGTCGGCATGCTTTCGTTCGTTGGCCGACGGCCAATAGGTGAGTCGTATGAGCAGTTCTCGTGGAAGTCAACACCGCCCGTTTTATCGACCGTACGCTCGTACGAGATAGATTCGAAAATCCGTTGTTTGACGCAGACGCGCGAAATGGATCTTTGCGATCAACCACATTTCAATATCGTAATCAACGAGGACTGGCGCCAAGAGTTTTTTTATCAGTAAACGAAATAGAATAAAATTATAAACTTGTTTTTTATTTTAAATCCTCGTTACATTTATATATATATCAAATATCTATAATTTTATTATTTAATATAATTTTATAAATTAATTTCCATTTGTATTTTCTTAAAAATTACAAAAATCATCTAGATTTCGAACATTGCTATCAAATGTTAAGAATTTTCTTCTTTTTGCCGGATACTTTTTACTGAGAAATAAAGAAACGATTTAAAAGATTTATTGATATATGTTATGATTGATATTTTAATATTTCAATATTAAATGATATTTAAAAAAAAAGAATAAAAAAATATATATCTTTTTCGAATTCTTAGATCTTTATTTTATAGAAATTTTTTATATTTGCATAATATGATGACAGATGAAAAATATAATAAAAATGTTCAAATTTTTATGACAAATTAATGAAACGTGTTTATATTTATATTATTATTTATTTAATAATAAATTTTCATAAATTTAAAAAGAATATGTTAAATATTACGAAAAAAAAAATATTATATATAATTGTCAAATTTAATTTTCATATTTATTAGTTTCTTGCGTAAATATTTTTTTGTAACTATAAATCATTTTTGTTTTTTTATAGGGTAAAGTAGAATATTTCGTAAAGTGGAAGGGATGGAGCAAAAAGTAAGTGAAAAATAAAACCGATAAATATTATGAGGTTCCTTCAAATAAATTAAGAATATGATTTTTCTCTTTACAGATACAACACATGGGAACCAGAAGAGAATATTTTAGACGTCAGATTAATCGAATTATACGAAGAAAGTCAAAAAGGTGGAGATGTAACTACAAGAAGACCTAGACGGAGGGATACTAGATATAGTGTAAATAATTATTCATATTTCTCTAAAAAAAAATAGTATTATTTTCAATTTTAATTTTAATTTAAAATATTTCCATGTAATATGTATATACCTATTATATCTATATATTTTTCTTCACTATAAGTGATTATTTTTTAAATTTTGGATCAAATGAAATACGTTATTAAAAATTAAATTTATATTGAATATTATATTAATTTATATTGAATTTTTTAAATTTTGAATCAAATGAAATAAAATTATTAAGTATTAAATTTATATTGAATAATATTACATTCTTAAATTTTTTAAAATTAAATAATAAGTTTTATTATTTTCAACAACATTTAACAATTTTTGAAGAATAATATGATAATATATATAAACGTTATGAAATTAAACATTTCCTCGTATATCAGGAACATGTTTTGGCCAACATGGTTGTTGAAGAAGAACCAGGTGGAGACGAGAGAGTCGGAGAAGATAGTCAAGACGAGTCGACTACTGGTAGCACTTCTGCTCCTCGTCTAAATCCCGTTGCACCTGATGAAGACACGCTTCCGAGTTCCCTCGACGGGCACGAATCGCCCACAGCTCCAGAATTATCGGCATCCGCTTTCAGTGTCGATTCAGATAGTTCCAATAGCAGTGTAGATAGTCCTCTATTGCCAAGGAGAGAACCGAGTGGTACAAAAAGAAAAGCTGAAGTTCTTAGCAAAGAATCGGGAAAAATCGGTGTTACTATTACTACAAGTCCAAGTGGAAGTCCTCCACCAAATAAGATTCCTCGACTATTGCCATTAAAGAGTAATCCAACATCTCCCTCTTACCACGTAAGTATTCATTCACATTCCTAAATTGTTGTTAATCGTTGTCAATTTATTCTCTGTAATAATCGCTTAAAAATTTTTGATTTTAAAATGATCATTAAAATGCATGTTGTATAATAATGTTTATTTTTGAAAACATTGAAATTTTGAAACTTCATTTATAATAAAAATTATAATAAAAAAATTAACTTTATAATAATTAAGATATTCTAAATTTCATTTCAGAGTCACAAAGTTAACGGTAGAAGGCCATCATCATCGAGTGTGAAGTCGACACCAGAAGAACCGCTACCAGCAATGCCAACAACGCCAGCTCCTGCAGTGCAAGAGAAAAAGCGTGCCGAAGCCGATGTGCCTCATGGTCCTCCACCCTCGTTGCCGCGTGCACCACCCGCACCTTTATCTCCTCAAATAGATACTCCTCTGGAACAGCCTACTAAAAAGAGGCACTTGTCCGATCAAAAACAAGAAAAGTCGAACGGAGCTGTGGCGGTAGATACAAATGGTCATAAATCACCCAGTCCTACGGATTCATACACGAATAACAACAGGTTATCGACCGTTGTTAATGGGCATCATAGTCATAATAATAATAATAACCACACCAACAATAATAACAACAATAATAATAATAATACATCGAGCGTAAAACAAACAGAAATTACGAAAACAGACATGTATATTCCTCTCTCGAGTCCTGGTACGGATTATTGGCACGCAAGGAATCCAGTTGCCGATCAAGTGTTCATTACAGACGTGACGGTGAATTTAAAGACCGTTACCATCAGGGAGTGTAAGACTGAAAAAGGATTCTTCCGGGAGAGAGATCCGAAGAGCGATATCTATTAACAAGTTCTGAATAAGGACGCTTTATTGTGAATTTCTAATATTGAACCACGCTTGTAAATATAAATTATTTTCACACGTTGAAGTGTAGAGCCGAAGATGGTTATATATATATATATATATATGTAATCATATATTATGTGACGATATTGAGCTATACATATATAAGAACGTTTTTCTAAAGAAGTAAAACGGATTTTTTTGTGGTTACGAAGAAGATCAAAGTTATGTGTAAATTATGACAAAATTTATTAATTCGCAGTTTCTGGTATATTATGTATTCTGAACGAAGTTCCAAGAACTTTCAGAAGCAAAAAATATGAGAACCTAAAATTCAATATTATGGATACGATATCCTGTGAATTTTATTGCAAACAAAATTGAATAGTCAGATTTCCAGTATGTTGAGTGAAAAATTGTGTGATTATCAATGAATAAAAGATAGTAAGACTATCATCATGCGACAACCTTATGCAAAAGAATAACGGTACGTCATGAGTCGCTGTCACGTCGTGATATATACTTGTACATTTTTTAAAACGCTTGATAGTCCGTAAATCTCTGTTTTAAAACAGAGAAAAATGCAAAAAGATCTGAACGAAACATTTTAGAAGATAAATACATTTTCTCATTGATTGCATTTTCGCTTGTATTAGAACTCTGCAGAAATAATGGTATACCTTGTAAATTAGTTGATTTCAAATTTTACTATGATAAAATAGTACAGATCTGGAAAGAAATATTTTTCTAATTCGTTTTTAGAATAATCAAAGCAGCTTCGTAGAAGCGATTTAAGAAAATATGAAAAAAAATTTTTCGAGTATGGGATTGAAAAAAAAGAACTGTTATCTTAATAACATATTTCTCAGCATTATGATATTATATTATATTTAACGATGAATATTATTCTGATTTTTTTCTCTTTTTCTTAGCAAATAATATTGTGTCACAAAAAAAGAAACAAGTTTATTA